AAAGAAGAACATAGTGGAAGGGATTGATCCAGAAAGGAGCTCTTCCTTCTACTGTGAGTGAAAAATATTGAATGGAAGATACAATTAAATTGCGGATACATGTGTCCATTAATATCATCCACAAAACACTATGCTGTATAGGTACTATAAATAAGTTTAATAAAAGGGACCAAAGTTACTTGCACATGGAAATTTTAGTAAAACTGCACATGGAAATTTTAGTAAAACTTACATGTCAAAGAGCTTCCCGGGCACCCACCATTGTCCAGTGTTGAATATGAGAACATCTGATTTAACCCACTCACTGCTAATATCATCCAACTTGTCCAATCTAAGCGTTGACCTCACCCGTTTGGGCGTGTGTCTAGGCATCTGACCTTGTTGCACCAAGAAAACTGACCGAAAGAACTCAATGGTGAAATTAAAGGAGTTAAAGCGAACGCCTAAAATTCTAATCTGTTTTGTAATCTTATTTCTGTTGACCTCATACACACTCTTCTTATCCTCTACACCTGTCATGAGCAAACATATCAACGATTCCCATTGTGTTCTACTCATGGAATCACCCACAAACACAACCCTTTTATTTTTAAACCTTTCCAATATATCATGCACATTGAGCCTTGGAATATCACAATTATTGGGCTTCCACCTCCATTTAAGATAATCATCATCTTTCCTCCCATTTCCCAGGCAATTGAATCCTTGCTCTACAAAAGGACATTCTGAAGCATTATATAAAGGATAACTATTCTCCACTACCCAATTTCCATCAAAAACATTGCACTCTCCAAATGAATAGTCGGATTTAGATATCCCAAAACCCCGAAAGGCTTGAGTGCGGCTAGGAAGCACATAAATGTAACCACTTGCAACAGCTATGAGAAATGAAAGCAAAGATCCAAATACAACAAGCACCCTAAACCAATGCAAGACTAAGCTTGATCGATTTACTCTTGAGCTTCCAAAACTCAAAGATCTTGGAATACCAACAATCAAAGCCTTTTGGTTGAATGACTTACTTCTATTGAAAGTAGTCATTATCAAAATCAACCATGTTGCCAGGACTCAACTAAGGAAGTGCTCATAGTAAAAAGACGAAAAATTTCACACCCCCAAATGATACAGATTCACATTATGAAGCTCGAGTCTACCAGCCCAGCCATTATCATACAATATCAGTTCAAACCACCCAAAAGGATCACAATAGTTTCAAAGTAGAACCAAAAGTATTATAAATTAGAAAAGCGTAAAGAGACCAAAACACGAACTCAATCCTAGAATTCAACACTTCATATTTCAAAGCAACATTTTGGTAGCAACCCACTAGAGTATTAATAGAGAAACCAATGGGTATTCGTCAAATATTAAGGAAAACAACTCAGATTAAGTCCAACAACTTCAAGAAAATCTAAATATTCTACAATTACTAGCTTACTGGTTGATAGAGAGTATGAGAGAAGCCATCATTAATACATTAAGAATCTTCTACAGAAGTAGAACTTGAGAGATTCGTGCATAGATAGCCGAGAAATGGAGAAAAAATTGAGATAAAAAAGTGTTCTGGAGTGGAGGTGGTGGTTGAGAGAGAGAGAGAATGAGAAGAAAACAGAGGACGTGACATGATAGAAAAACAGAGAGAAAATATTCTGGTAGTTGGAAATTTGGTTGTTCTCTGTTTTGTTTTCTATATTTATTTTCGGAAAATGTTGTGTTATTATTTAAGCTATTCAACTGGTAAACGATAACGTATATTTGAATCCTATAACATCAACAAAGTTTGGTCTTCAAGTTCACTCAATCTATAGTTTTGGGCATTTATTTAGGAGGAATATGATTGTCATCCTGACAAACTGCTTGCTTCGATTTCAAAAGTTCTAAATAAAAGAATATTGAAATGAAATTGAATGGCTTATAAATAATTTTTAAAACGATTTTCGGTTTTATTTCAATTTAACTAAAATCAAAATTAGATAATTTTTTTATTTTTGTAACTTGAATAAATAATTATAATAATAAGTTGTAATTCTCTTGGCTAAATCAATTTGATAAACAAAAATTTAAACTTTATTTTAAAAATTATAATAGAGCAAAGATAGATTGAGAGTTTATTAGAACATAATTTTTTTAAGGTTTCAAATTGAAATTACTGCCTTAAACCAAACAATTAATTTCTACTTTAAAATATAAAGAATCGAATCAAACTAAATCGTAAATATTCTATTTAGTTATGCTTTAAAATTAGAAACCTTTGAGGTTTAAAACTAATTTTAACCAGTTCAATTTTAGTTCAGCGTCGGTCTGAAATAGAATCTTAATTATGCCTAGGAGATCAGAATCCATACTCTTGAATTCGAATCAGTTTTGGACCAAGTTTCGGTCCGATTCCGATGAAACCCAATTCCAGCCGCACAGATTACTAATCCGTCAGTCAACAAACAAAACGCACCGTGTAGTTGTTGTAAAGGCTAAAACTATTTTGTGGAGCTGGCTTTCTCCACTTCCGAAAACCCCCACTAAACCCACAGAGACGAACAGAGAGAGATGTTTCAGAGCAGATTGGTTTCGTCCATTTTGAAGAGGAACAAAGGAGCCATTAATACTGTAATATCCAATCTCAGAGGAAAAACGTCCCCGTTTAATGATTTGAGGGAACAGCCACCAACATCCTTCTTCAATGTCTTTAGATCTTCACCCGTGGTAAGTTTCTCATTGTCCTCATCTTTTGAATTATATCAGATTGTACTTCAATTTTTCCTAGAGCTTTTTTTTTTTTCCGGATTTCGAAGAACAAATGAGATTAGCTATGAAAGTTTGTGTCACCAGCGGTAGAGGTTGTACGGATAAATCAATTTTCGTGTAGCTTTGTTTCTAATCAATTTCTGGTTTTATTTGTCATTTTGTATATTGTTTCAGTTTTTGGTTCTTGTTTATGGAATGGGATTTTTCAATTTTATAAACTTTAATTGTAAAACTTGAGATAGATGAAGTTGTAACCTGTTTTGCAACTGTGATCATTGCCACTTCTCTTTAATTAAAAAATTGGGAATTTTGATGATTTGGGCTCCTCTTGGGTTTCAGGTTTGCATATATATATATATATTGGACTTTATTCTGCATTCTTTTTAATAATCTGTTTCAGTTGTTACATGTATTTAATAAAGCGGTATATTATAATTTTAATGTTGTTATGATCTTTGTCAATATTATTGAGGGGTTTGAAGTAATGGTTGTGTTGGTAGCAATTTTTTGGTGGCTTTTGGATTTAATTATCAAGTATATAAATGGGATCTTGGTGCTTTATTATTTACCATTCTCTCCAAGTATGAGATGACAAAAAAGTCGGAAAAGGAGAAAAGAAAAACAAAACTCTTACCACTAATTATAAGTTTGCAAATTCTGCTTTTTATCTAATGAACGAAACCCGATTAGCCAGACTAGATGTGTGCTTACTATTACATAAAAGAGATTCTGAAAATAATATAAATAAAAAGTGAAAGCCAACATGATGCAGTTCAATTTCATTATGAGATGTCGAACTCTTAAGTACACTTAAATCTCGTTACTACTCTACATTTATCAAACATGATTCATAATTTGTATAGGGTCATCGCATCCCATCTATGAGGAATATGTCCACTGCTGCATCTGTTGGCATGGAAGGTAAAGAGGGGCTAAAGCTACTTGTAACGGGAGGACCCCGTGCTCAGAAAATGGTTGGTATATGGCTTTTTGGTTCTGCTGCTTGGGTTTTTAGTATGGTCGTGCTTGGTGGTGTCACAAGGCTAACTCGATCTGGTCTTTCAATGACTGATTGGAAATTTACTGGTGGCCTCCCTCCTCTTTCAGACGAGGAATGGTTGAATGAGTTTGAAAAATATAAGCAGTCACCTGAGTATAAGCGGTAAGTGTAAAAAATGCTTACTGATATTATTGCTAAAATGCTCACTTCAAGCGCTTGAAAACCACGGAAGCACTTACTTATAACCTCATGATATGTGATTATAAAATGTAGTCTTGTTCGATTCTTGATAATTTAGATAGGTTAGATGCCTCAGTATGATACAATTTTCCCCTCTATATTAGGAACAATTTCTACTGATTGTTCAAGTGTAGGAAGCTTTAGTTTGTCTACAAAGTTACTATTGCTCTTTGAAAGACTAAATAACTATTTGCATTTTCTTTTTCCCCTTTGCTGATAGTTAAAAGATTATCTTACCTTATGTTGTGTCCCAATTATATTTCTTATATTTATTTGGTCGACAAAAATGTTGAAGTTCCTTTGAATCATCTTTAGTTTGTGTATGACCTTATTGCAGTGTAAACAGAGGGATGAGTATTGAAGATTTCAAATTCATATATTGGATGGAATATGCACATCGTATGTGGGGAAGGGGACTGGGTATCATGTTCGCTCTACCATTTTCATATTTTCTGCGCAAGGGATATATAACCTTAAAACTTGGATTAAGTCTCTCTGCTCTTTTTGGCCTTGGTGCTGGGCAGGGTCTAATAGGTTGGTGGATGGTGAAAAGTGGTTTAGAGGTAAAATATCTAAATGTCTCTCTCTCTCCCTCCCTCCCTCCCTCTGTTTGCTCTTTCTCTTTTTCCATGGGATAACATAACTTCTGTACATTTCTATTTTCACGACTTCATAGAAGAGTATGAAACTCATAAATATAGTTTATTTCTTTAGGAGCCAGCATCTGAATATGTTCAGCCAAGAGTAAGCCCTTACCGTCTTGCAGCTCATCTTACTTCAGCATTTGTTATTTACAGTGGCCTGTTCTGGACTGCACTTTCTGTTGTAATGCCTGAGCCACCTGCTGAATCACTAACTTGGGCTCGTGGGGCAACAAAAGTGAAGAGACTTGCTCTTCCTGTAAGCCTCATTGTAGGCATTACTGCTGTCTCAGGGGCATTTGTTGCTGGAAATGATGCTGTATGTAACCATTTTGTTTCTCATGTTGCTTATCTTCTTTCACCAGAATCTGATGTATATCCTCCAGTATGTGGTTAGGAAAAATATTATTATGGTTCTCTTGTGCAATGCAGGGACATGCATATAACACTTTCCCCAAGATGGGTGAAACCTGGATTCCTGATGATATATTTGAACTGAAGCCACTAATTCGAAACTTCTTTGAGAATACATCAACAGTGCAGGTAAATCTTTAATGCTTAACTAGTACTCACATGGGTTTCCCGATGATTGCATAAAATTGATTTTTTCTTTTCTCAGTTAGACTGCTAAGTAAAAATAGAAAAGTTATTATAGAACATGAGTAAGAGGACAAACAGGAAAGCTATTGTATAACATGACAAAAATATTTGTTTCTGAATGTCAAGAATAATAAATAACAAAAACAAAATTATTTTCTTGTAAAGTTTTACAGATGTCTCTTCATTCCAAAAGGTAGTTCTTTCCACAAGGAATCTGGACTCAAGGCATTCTGTTTCTTGTGATGTTCTAATCAATAGTGCAACTACTTGTGAAGGAATCAGTTAAACACGAGTCTACATAACTTTGCATTTTGGTTAAACTATCAATAAAACCTTTTATATAACCACTTGAAGATAGAAGGAAGATGATGAATTTTTATTGCTTACAAATCAAATTTTAAGATTTTTTTTTTTACTTTATTGCAAATACGTAGAACATTCTTGTAACAACTAGTCTTTTAACTAATTTGGAATTTGTCTGATGGTTGTAGCTTAACCACCGTATCCTTGCAACTACAACCTTAATGTCAATTGGTGCATTATGGTGGTTCACGAGAAAGTTGGACATACATCCAGCAGTGCGATCTTTGATTGGAAGCACGTTCGGCATGGCTGCTCTTCAGGTGATTCTTGGCCGTAAATTCTCTTTTAATTGTACATGATGCTTCCTCAGGTCGTAAAAAAGCACAAACTATTCATGCTTGTTTGATTGTAACTGATTTTCCCTGTTGCAAAATGAAACTGTATTTTCACAGGTTACTTTAGGAGTATCGACACTTCTATCGTATGTACCTGTATCACTTGGCACTGCCCATCAGGCTGGAGCCTTAACACTTATGACGCTTATGATTCTGCTCATCCACACTGTGCGCAAGCCATCTATATCGCTTCTCAAATCGCTTCCTCAAGTTGTGAAGACAGTCTAGGAGAATTAGGTTGTATCAAATACAGAAGTCAGTTAGTAAATTGTCGTCGTTGTTATAATTGAATGAGCAATTTTCAACTTAAGGTTCACCATTCCAAGCAAAGGGAGAACATTGAAAAACCAATTTATGGTGTTATTGATTTAATTTTCGTTCGATGAATTTGGAACTCAATATTCTAGTTTTCATGCAGTTTCAGAGGAAGGAGAGAATACATGTTCTCTTATTCCAGGTCTTTGATTTGGAGGAATGTACACAGTGAGCACTTTCCTATGCAAATACAGATTACAGAATTTTGTTGTGTTTGGTGCTGAGGTTAGGACGTGGAAAACCTGGATTGTAATAGCTTTTCATTCAATAAATTGTTAGACCAGAGAAGTTAAATTTCAAAATGAATTAAATGGACAAATTAAGAAAGGCAAAATTCATAATCTTACTCTTAACTTTTGCCAATAAATATTGTGATATTCTGAACTTTAAAAGACTTATGGTATCTTAAACTTTACTCTTTGTAATAATTTCATACCTTCTCACACTAGCAATAACAATTTTTAAAATTTTTAATTTGTATATGGAAAATATTGATTGGAAACAATAATTTTTATATTGTTCAACTATTTAATTAGGGTTTAATTGATCTAATTTTGCAAGTTCAGATGTTTAATGTGCCAATTAAGGTATCTAATAGATGCAATTTGGTAAGTTGAAGTATTCAATTGATTAAATTAAGAATTAAGGGTGCTACAAGATTTTTCGTGAAAAGTATAGGGATAAATTTATATATTGAGCCGATTAAGAAAAGAAGTGCATTTCTCATTGGTTAAAAACTAAAAGTTGCTATTTATATACTCTCTGTCTCAAAATATAAGTTATTTAATGAATAATAAATTATATATTTTCAATATTACTCTAATTTATGTTAAATACAATAATTATCTTTACAAGTTAGTCTTGGTTTTAAAGTAAAGAATAATTTGATCAAATTACCTTTGATTTTGCTATAATTTAGAAGAATTAATTGCTTTCTTAATCCATTTGAAATAGAGAAAGTAGGAAAGAAAGTTGGAAACTAGAGTTGCCTAGTGTGTATATATATATATATATATATAAGAGTAGGGGACATGCTCTAATCCCTCCTTCCATTGGTGGGAGTTCATATATTTTGAATTGCTATTCAAAGAGGATGGCTAATTTATTAAAGATATTTGTAATATTTATAATATATATTTATAAGATTCATCTCTTGTTTGAAAAATAAATGAATTCTATAAAATTTTATTGATATAATTTCTTTAATTTCATATGTTTATTACTAATTTTGCTATCTATATATCAAGAACTTGAAATGATAATATTGACCATAGTATTCTACGAATGACAACATTAAGTAAAAAAAAATTGAAACCCATGTCTCTTGAGCAACATCGGTGCGTCAATGTTATCTATTAATTCGGTAAAACTTCTAGTAATGCATGGTCAGAATAAGATCAGGCAATTTGCTTAAAGTTAAACAAGGCAAAGGAAGTAAAGACATCACAAAGGGAAGCAGTAGATGTTTATTTCTCTTTGAAAAAAAAATAATAAATTTATGAGAAAATATAATTATATGAAAAGAATAACAGGTTAAGAAAACCTACTCTGATAGGTTTCCTTTACACGTGTATATTGCTCATCATTTCTGTACAAATACAGAAATATATTAATCTGTACTGTAGTAAAAACCCCATTTATAAATCTAAATTTTTGTGTTTAGTATGAAAGAAAAAGAATTCAATTCTATAAATTTGAACATAACTAAATAAAATTCTACAAAAGAAGATAGAATTTTCAAATAAATTCCACAAACTTAAACAATCTAAAGCTTTCTTAAAAAACTATCGATCTTTCTAACCTTCTAAAATTATTATACCAAAGATATTTTAAAAAATAAATGCATATTAATTTTCAATTTTGAATTTACTCCATACATGAAAAATTTATTTATATATGGTTTGTAAAAATGAATTTGTTGAAATTGATAATTTGCTAAAGTAAGACTTTTTTTTATCACAGTAGTATCAATTTGAATTGAATTAATAAATTTAAAAACTTGACTAAAATAATTCACATAAATATTAGTTAGGATTTTTTTTTTTTTAATTTGGTTTAAAAAGAGTGGTTTCAACAATCCAATTATAGCATTAATTCCATAACTTTACGCATAATGCAAAACAATGATTCTATAAAATAACAATTTTATAATCTCAAAGTTTTTATTGAAATTTTTAAATTTGTAATAATTTAATATCGGTAATAAAAATTTATGAACTGCAAATTTTATAAAAGGCAAAAGTAATCATTCCATTTTATGAAAGAGCTACTTCAAATGAAGTATTAGTGTTAAAAGGTGTTACAAAGCTGAGTTCATGCTAGAAATAATATCTCACTTGTATTATAGTAATGAAAGAACCTGCCTGGATGCATAGAGATAATTGGCTACACTCAATCTTAGAATTCTACAAATTAAAACTTCTCAACAATCAACATCAATAATTTTATTGTAGTGAATTATAGTAAAGAAAACATCAAGCAACCAGTGCTATTCAGTTCTGGAAGATTTCAACATTTAAACAGAGGGCCAATGGAACATAAAACTGCACATTACAAACAAAACACAAAACCTCTTATCGAACTGAAGTGGAGTACTTCTCTGTTTTAGAGAATCAAATTCAAAATTTTCTTTACAGACAGAGAGACTTTGACAAGAAAATGAAAGAAAAGGAGTGCCGGTGGCAAAACAACTCCAGCCTCCAAAGCTCTTTAAGTAATTTAAAAAGTTGAAGATGAAGAAACAATTGTAAGGCATACTCCAAGAAACCTAATTACACAGCTCAAGAACTACTGCTATCGCCATAGTGACAAAAGCATAAACACAGGCCTATATGAGAAAGGGAGAATATATATATATATATATATATAGAGAGAGAGAGAGAGAGAGAGAGAGAGAGAGAGAGAGAGAGTAATTAACACAGCTCAAGAACTACTGCTATCGCCATAGTGACAAAAGCATAAACACAGGCCATATGAGAAAGGGAGAATATATAATATATATATATAATATAGAGAGAGAGAGAGAGAGAGAGAGAGAGAGAGAGAGAGAGAGCAAGGTTATATATATATATATATATATAGAGAGAGAGAGAGAGAGAGAGAGAGAGAGAGAGAGAGAGAGCAAGGTTATCATGATGGCGCACCTAGATATGAGGCTAATCGCAATATGTCACTGAATATTCCACCAGCTGTTACTTGAGCCCCAGCACCAGGCCCACGGACTATTAAAGGTTGTTCCTTGTACCTTGTCGTGGTGAAAGCTATAATGTTATCAGAACCTGAGAGTTGAGCAAATGGATGGTCTTTTCTATATGTTCGCAACTCAACACGTCCTTCTTGCCTCACCACATCCACCACCCCAACATATCTCAAGACCTTCAGATTATATTAATAATAGAAACAGATTCAGAGTAGATAAATAGAGAGAAAAGGAGAGGCTTCTCTTTTTCCATAGTAAAAGTTGACTTCTGTGCACAACTTAAAATACTAGTAGCTTTGTAAACCATTTTCAAGCAGTTTCACGCCATTACAAGAAACACAAGCTATCATCATAAAAATGATAGAAAAAGGAACAGGATAACTTTCGTTGTATGGATCCAAGTAGGTGTTTGATAGAGTGAAATATTCTTAATAATAACTTCACTGGAAATAGGACGCCTACGGCACAATGCTTGGAAAAAAAAAAAAATATATTCATGCATTAGGTGTAACTTGTACATTTCCAGGAAATTTGTCAAAATCATATATAAACTAAAAGTACTATTAAATTTACATTAGTTATTCCAAAAGACAATTATAATATGGATCCTAACTAATTCTCACAACTCTTTTACAATCTTGTGCAAAATTTCTAGGAGGGAAGGATGAAAAGAAAGTGAGACTATGGAGGCATGAAGGCAGAGGAGGAGAGAGAAATTTATTGATTCATATAACTTCTCTAGCTTTTAGATTTCTTTTTCTAATTTCTTCATAAATTACACAATTGATTAATTTTCTATGTTTTATTCAAGTTTAACCACCATGAGACACGCATTGCTCTTTGTGGTTTTAAATAGTGGTATTTTCACAATGTTTTAGCCATTTCGTAATGGAACTTTGAGCATTAGTTTCTATTTCACTAGGGGTGATATACCAATCGCCTGGAAACAGTAAGACAAAACATGAGAAATGACTATTTCTCATGCTATGCTTAAGTATTAACTTACTATCTTGCATATTTTATTATTCTATTTTTAGTTTATCTTTTATTGGATTCTTGCTCATTGCTGATTCAAGTTATTTTGCAAATGGCTTTAAAAATCCACAGCAGCTGCAGCTGCAGCTGATTCAGGACTTTTCAATCTGTTTCATATTGATTCCATGATGCTACTTCTGTTTTCTGTTTCCATTACCGTTTCTTAGTCCGTTATTTAAAAAACCTAGCCATTGTTACAAACATCTTATAGTTATTTCTTTATACATGTAGTAATAGGGTAATTTGGTTATTTTGATAATTATTATCACAGAAAGGCAATGTACCAATTCTGATGTATGGTAATACAACCACATCTGATTGCCTCATTCAAATAAGGGAATCATATTCTTGGTTATCCAAAGAATGAAATCCATTCCCCTATACCATCCAACATCTACAATTATGGTTCCATTTTCCCTTGATTGTCCATGAATTCCTTCAAGTGCAATGCAAACAATGTTTTCATGGATATCTCGATGTGCATTTATGATCACCAAGTTACTGATACTTCTACCTAAACGATTTAATTCAAATTCTGACCATCATATTCATCATTCTATGTAAAGCGCTAATCATGTTGCCAATCAGAATCTGATACTTCAAAAATATTTAGAGACCAGCAAATCATGTACTTACATTCCCAGAATGCTCTGCCTTCTGTCTTTCCTTTGCCATGTCTTTGTCAAATTGTGGTAACTGCTTCATATATTCTTCAGCAGATACACAGGCCTAAAGCAAAAATCAGAATCATCATATCAAAGAAAAACTAGCATCTTAAACCCAGTGTATGAGCGAGAAATAAAACTCACTCTCAATGGTTCAGGAACAAGACTTCAAACAGGGATATCAGAAAGTTCTAACTTCAAACCAGATTCTCTTGCAAGAATTATCACCTGCATATGCAATTGTATTTAGTGAGAGAGAATCGAATAACTACAGTTCAGAAGCAACAAGGTTAAGTAAATTCCAAGTCTAGTAAAATAAGTGTGGCAGGGATAATGATGTAACACACACCGGGTCATTTAATGTAATTTGAATAATGATGCAACACACACCAGGTAAGTTAAGGTAATTTGACAGTCGACAATTTTATAATCTTATACATTCCCAACAATATAATGACGCACAAGGGAAGGCAGTTCCATGGGTGCAATTGGCACAAACTTGTCTAACAACTAACCAATTTTGACAAAAGCTTCAAGGTATAAATTACCTTTCTGGCAACATCCGTTCCAGATAGATCATCCCTTGGATCTGGTTCGGTATAACCTGCTTGCTTTGCTTCTGCCACCACCTCACTAAATGACTTTGGGCCTATGAAGTTGTTGAAAATATAACTCAATGTTCCGCTGTAACAACACATCATTGAGAGAATGCTAGCATAAAAAAGATGCACATAGCGAAATTAACTTATGATACTTGAGAAATTGAAAACATGTTGATAAAGTATATATATGGTTCTTGCACCAGTTTTGCTGGCCACTAACTAAGAAAACAATGCTTACCTGAAAATTCCTTCAATTTGCAAGATTTTATCGCCAGTTTCTAAGAGACCTCGCAAAGTGCTAATAATTGGAAGACCAGCTCCAACAGTTGCTTCATAAAAGTAATGAGTATATGATTGACGTTGAAGAGCTCTCAGCTTTAGATACTGGAATTATACAGAAAAATATCACTGAGCATAAGGCACAAGGCAGTGATGACAATATGACAAGGAAAAACAGACCAGTGATTTCAAATTTGCAATCAGCTGCTGACTTCAAGGTCCTTTTTCCCTTCAGTTACTCTATGAGTAAATAAAAGGCAAACTAATCAACTGATTCATACAGTTATTCATGTACATCTAGAAAATTAAGAATTAAAGAAGGTAGAAAGCCCATAGCATCCAGTATGTAAACCTCCACAAAGTAGCATGAAGACAAATCATCTGACAGAGATCCTGAGAGTTAACCCCTCCTACTTTGAAAAATGTTGCCATCTGAATCCATGGCATTTTCCTACTGCACCTTTAGAGAGAGTGTTTTTTCCTTGGTTGATTGAAGTATTGAACTATTGCTACTTAATAAGCTCACTTGTAATGGAGTTGGGCAAATCATTAATTTTTCTTAACTGAGGCTTTAAATAATAAATAAAAGGCCAAAGTAGCATTTTCACGAGGAGACCTCTAGTTGCAGCCAATTGACTAACATCATAAAATTTCTTGTGGACTCATCGTCAAATTACAATCAGCTTTTGCCAGGACAGAGTGTTGTTATACCTTCTTATATTCAAATTTGTGATACAGAAATAGAGTCCCGAACTGAAACATAGAGTTAAAGGTAATGATATATTCAATAGTTAATTATATTCAACTCACAAGAATGCCACCAAATCTATTAGCAATCGTTCTTTAAGATTGTTTAATTTCTAAAGACAAGGGCTTATCTCCAGCTTGCAGACATTGAGACAAGGTAAGCCTATCAGTTATCTTGTTCCTCACAAGATAAGGAGTAGGGCAATCAATCTTTGGAAGGATATGCATGTATATTTTTTCCTGACTACCCAGCAGTCATATTCTTTACTAATTTACTTTAGTATTGGGCAAGCAGTATCAGTTGGCACATCAATTCATTTCCATTTAGTTTAGTCCTTGGTACTTGAATTTCACATTAAATGATTTTTTCGTCAACTTCGGGGTCGAGTGCTACAAAATCTAAGCTTTAACAATGTCTAGCATGTATTTGGTTGAAACTTAGTTGTTTGACAGGGTTTTTCAAATTTAGTGATAACAGATGTGAAATAGAAAAAGATTCCTGAAGAGGAAAATGTATCAAATTGTAGCAAAAATGGATGGGTTAATGCAAGCAATTATAGAGGTATTGAAATGAAGTATCACTTGTGAAGAGCAACGACAACAACCAAAATGGGGAGGACGAAATATGTTCAACAGGTCTAAAAGGGAGTCCAGGCGCAAAAAATCTATGCCCTTTGGCAAGATATCTCTAGGTGACTGATCATAGTTTTATGAAAATGAAAAGTCTCTTTGTGAAGGAAACCGATTAAAACAGCAAGTATTCAACGAGATTACCAGTGTAATTCTGTTACCTGATCAAGTGGCCCAGAATTTGCCTTTTTGTTAGGGGTAATCACATGAATTCCCTTCCGTAACCAATCATAATAACAAGTTGCAATCTTAGAGTCTGCAGTGCAATCTACCAAAACGGTATTGGGAATAAAATGGTTTCTCCGAATATGGTGCGTGAATTTCTCCAGGTCAGCCACTTCACTATTCTCCATTGCAAGTTCTCTCCATCTTGACAAGTCAATTCCACTACAACCAGAGACAAAGGTTAAGATTCTTATACACATGCAAGTGACTTTAGTATATTTGCAGTCAACAGAATTAAAACAATGTTTTTCTTGTCACAACAAATAAATGAATCACCTCCACTCATGATAACCATATCTGAGTAAACAAATGCATGGCTTTCAAGTCATCAAAATTTCTGTGAGAACTTCTTCTTTCCCAAAAACTGAAAGCCAGAGAAATGTAAAACAATTTGCAAGGCATTTAATGTCATTCAGTAATGGGCTTAGATCCAAAAAGAGTCACCCATACGTTTCACCATTAAGAAGAAGGTCCTAAGCACCTATTTAATTATATGAGAATAATAGGATTTTCCCTTATATACTTGGAATAAGAGAAACCCAAAATTACAAGAACAACCCCCATAATTAGAACCACGCTAAGCTAACAACACTATCAAAACTTTGGGTTGCAATCACCCATAATAATTAGATTACTACCCATACTAAAGCAGGATAAAGGTTTAGGAGTATTATGTACAGTATGAGATGGGTTTTATCTTTTTGTGGGTATCCAATGATAACAGTACATAAGCACAAAAAATCCCCCATAGACAACTTATTCTAATTTTAAACATCTAATCCATTTTTTATAGTAGCTCTTCCCCATTTGAATTTCTACAGTCCAAAGAATATTCGCACTGCCATCATGAGGAAGCTCCCACTATCAGGTCTTCAATTTAGCATGCCCTTGCGAACTCTCTCTTCACGAGTTAATATCATCTATTTGGAATTATTGTTTAGGTGATTTCCAATGAAGCAAACAAGGGTTCCTTGAATTTCTAGGGGATCTCCTGCATAGAAGACCTCCTGATATTCTGGACATCAATTTATTGCTTCTTACAATTTTATTTCATTTTATCAAAATTTGATAAAGTTGCAATATAAGCAAATGTATTTATGAGACTTGTGAACCCTTGAAATCCATTGATTAAAGTAGGAAGGTGCTACAATTTACTCGCAACAGAAATCTAAGAAGTAACATTAAATAGAAAAAATACTATACACAGTGTACTATCATGCAGGCAGCAACTTATGGAAGCATGAAGCTTACACTTCACTCAAAAGCATTCTTCTTGAGCCAATGATTCCCATGACACGCAGATCAATGTTAAATTCTTCCTTCAGGACTGCTGCCTGCAATAGAAATTGCAAAATTTGTTTAGATTGAAATATAGCTTTTAAATTTATAACTTAAAGCGAGACCCATTTTGTCAAATTTGAAGATAAGCGATTATCTGATAACATTTCAGATGGTAATCCAATTACAAGAAGCAAAGCATGGCTACCTATGTCAAATAGCTACAAGTATAGATGGCCAAGAACATTTCTGCTCACTAATTGTTATTTATTTATAAAAACCTTTAATCTCTACTATCTGGTGCATTTATAAAAGTTACTTTATCATCCTCTGCAAATGAGGGTTTAAGACTTTGAAACGAGAAGATAAAAAACCATTTATATCACAAAGGTGAAGTCATACCTTTATAGATGATACCATGAAATTTCTTAGACCACAATTAGAAGACAGATTCATAGTGATTTATGAAGATGCCGAATTTGCAAATAATTACCAACCACAAAAATAATACAAGCTGATTAAGAGGCTATTTGGCATTGATATTGAAAATGATTTGCTAGAAAAGCACCCTTTATATAGTAGCAAAAAGCAATTAATCTACATTAAAAGAATACTAAAAAATCAATCACATCTAATCAACACAGTCAAGATGGTGTTTTCTCAATAGCTAATGCCAAACAAATCCTAGAAATGCTATTCTCGATCCCATTTTTGGAGAAATTGATCCTACATTTGCTTTCAGTGCAATAACCACCAAACTACCACTCATAGTAATCCTTGATATATTTTTAAATTAAAAGCTCTATCAAAAAATTCATCCAAGAGAATCACGAAGTACAAAGAAAGTCCTTTTGTGGCACTAGATCTTCTATTTCTAAAAGTCAGGCACGTCCAATACCATATGAGAACCCAAATATTAAATCCCATATTTTTGTTTTTGAAAACCTTTGAATGTTGTACCTATTAACCACAAATGACAAAATTTCTACTCAAAAAGCAAGTTCCAACAACTTCCTTACCCGCCTGAAATGCAAGAGCAAATGCTTGATGTTTCGGCATGACTTATGTAGAGTTAGATTGAAGACTATCAATATCAGTTCCCCAGTAGACTCTCCTAAAAAAGGTAAAAGGAAGAAAAAAAGGCAATCCTGGAGACTGTAACCATTTATACCATCCAAATTATCATCCATAGAAAGATGTGTCAATCTAGTATCTTCTCATTGATTATTTCGATATTGACCCTACAATATAAGACTTTTGTCTCAAACTGACTCCTAAATATGCTCCATTCAACCTTATTCCTCCTACGTCTGTCGAAATCTTGTACAAAACATCAAAAAACTGAAAAATATATTAACCTTCCAAAGATCATAAAATATCCTTGGGGTACATTACTCCAAATCAATCATCTTGATTTTGTAAGAAATTCAACTATAAACAAAATTCTCCAAAATATCCTTATCCATTGACAACACAGACAGATCATGTTAGAAGTCATTTAAAGAAGAATAACAACCACAACCATCACGCCAAAATCAAAAGGAGAAAACTATCTAGGTTTCTAACATGTTAAGGACTAGTTGTAAATAGAGTTCTGTTAGGAGTTAGATTCCTAATAGGTTTATAGTATCCTGTATATGTATATATATGTGACCCTATTGAGTTCTGTTAGGAGTTAGATTCCTAATAGGTTTATAGTATCCTGTATATGTATATATATGTGACCCTATTGATGAAAAATATATAACAATAATTTTCCACATTCTTCTACATGGTATCAGAGCCCCCTGGGCTCGTTATTTTTTTATTTTTTTTCTTTCTCTGCTCTTTTTTGTGTTCAAACTATAGGCAGAGGGTATTTTTTGGTGACTACCAGTCTAGGTCACCCACGCAGGCTGGTCTTTCTGTCTCACCGCCACCCAAGGAAGAAGGACAGGCCGCCGATCGGCTCTCCCTCCAAATCCGGTCACCAGAATCCGCATGAGTGGGCTTCACGCGCCACTCCAAGTTTTTGCCCTTCTTCACGCGCCGGCGCGTGAGGGCGTGTCCGGCAATCTCCGGTCACCGGCTCTCAGTTTCCAGCGTCGATTCTGCCAGTACAGTGCAACCTAGTGTGTTGCGTCGGCTCTCTCTGACTTTTGTGGTGTTTTTTGTGCTGCACCTTTGCTGTCGCCTTGCCGGGTACATTCTGAATTTGTGAATTTATATTGTGCTGCTGCCTCTTTGCTATTCTGCTATTCTGCTATAAGTTACCAAGAATCGTAGTTTCCTTTGCTGTGCTACATTTGTTTTTTTGAGCGTTTCATCACAAAATATGACGACTACTCACTGAGGTGTGACTCCGAATCGGAAACCCTGTTATCATTGATAGTTGGTTGGCCATTATGAATAATAACGGAACACAAACCTTACTAGCTCTATTTTTCTGGCATGGAGTAAACAGTCGGTATACTATGTTTGTAGTTTTGGATAAGGATGACACTTTAACAATGATCCACCTGAAGGAGCTGCTAGGCAAATCCTGGCTTAGGGAGAGGATGCTCGTTATTTTTAACAGCTTCGGAATTCGATGACAGTGAGGTAATTGGTTTATTAATCATTGTGAGTTTGGTTTAAGGAATTGATGGATTATCTTGAATTTTTGTACTCAGGAAAAAGTAATCTAATCCTTGTATGTATGAGCTCTGCAAAAGGATTTTTTCTAAGCCCCTCACAGCTTATTTCATGGAATTTAAGAAGATTTACGAGGAACTTAATGTTTTATTGCCATATTGCCTTTTAGCCCCGATGTTAAGGTTCAACAGACTCAGCGAGAACAAATGGCTGTAATGAGTTTTCTTGCAGGTCTTGCTCCGGTTTTTGAAATTGTCAAATCACAGGTTCTTTCAGGCACTGACGTTACCTCTCTTCAGGAGACTTTCACTAGATTACTATATACTGAAGGTTCTCATACCCCTTCCCCTTATGATAATAGTGCCCTTATGATCGTAATCAGATAGTTAGGCAACCAGGAAACAGAGGAAGAGGAGGAAATAACCGTAGTATTGGAGCAATTAATTGGGAGGCGAGCATTCTTATCTACCATTATTGCTATGAACCTAGTCACACTATACGGTATTGCAAGAAACTGATAAATAAGCCGTCAAGGACAAATATGGCCACTCAAGATTCTGTAGTTACTTCTACTGACAACACTGCAACAATTTCTGCTGCGGAGTACATTGAGCTCTCTAGATACCGTTCTTCTAAGTCTATTGATTCCTCAATTGCTGCTGCTGCCAATTTAGGTACTCCTACTACATGTCTTATGTCTACCTCATCAGAGTAGGTCATTGATTCTGGTTGCACAGATCACATGACAGGTAACCCTAGTCGCTTATCCTCATTAAAAGAACCTGAACAATTTAATCGTCATGTCACTTTAGCTGATGGGTCTACATCTTTTGTCAAGTGTATTGGCACCGCCAATCCCATCCCATCTCTTTCTCCGTTTGTCTATCTGTTTTTTGTTTGCCTCGTTTGTTCGTTTCAATCTATTTATCTGTTAGCCAAATTAATCGTCTCTGATGTCTGTGATTAAAATTTTATTTTATCCTTACTATTTGTGTTCAAAACCTTCTTTTGACGCAACGGATTATTGGATAATAGAGGAGTGAGTCTGGTGGCCTTTATCTTCTGGTCAATTGAACCAAAGGAAAAGTTTCGTCATTTCTCTGGCCTTGTGTTGGAATGCTCTCTCTTCCTTGTTGAGGTTCATTTGTTGTTTGGGTCATCCTTTCAATTGACTACTATAAAGTAAGTATGTGTCTTGCAGTTCAGTCTTTATCGAATTTAGAATGTGAATCTTGTCAATTTGCCCAAACATCAACGTTTACTTTAGTTACTCGAACGTCAATAACAGAGCTTCATCCCTTTTTGAGGTTCAGTTCATCTGAGCTTTTTGGGGGTCCAGTTGTCCTGTTAATTTCTTAAAACAGGCTTTCGATTATTTTTCGTAACTTTGTGGATGTGATTATTCTCGTGTATACTTGGTTATTTTATGAAAAATCGTTCTGAGATATTCTCTATTTTTGTTCCTTTTGTGCTGAGATTAAAAATCAATTTAATACCTCTGTTCGACATCTGCAAATTGACCAATGCTAAAGAATATCTATTCTAGTTCCTTTCCAATCTTTTATATGTACAGGAAATGGTATTCTTCAATCCAAACATTCTTGTGTTATACTCCTTCTCAAAATGGGGGTTGCAGGAAGAAAAACTCGACATCTTCTTTGAGGTTACCTTAGTGGCACTTTCCTATTTCAAATGAAGGTCCCTAAAACATTTGTTGGGCGGATGCCTGTATCTACTGCATGTTTTTTTATCAATCGCATTTTGCCTTCTTCTGGACTCTGTCTTGATTTTCCTTACTAAACTTTTTATTCCCATATTGAACTCGTATTTTTGTGATTGAACCTCGTATTTTTGGTTGTACTTGTTTTGTTCGTGATGTTCGTCCACAAGTTTCGAAATTAGATCCAAAATCCCTTCATTGTATTTTCCTTGGGTATTCTCGGCATCAAAAGGGATATCGTTGTTTCTCTCCCAATCTTGACCGTTATCTTATTTCTGTCGATATCACATTTTTTGAGAATACTCCGTTTTTTCCTTCTCCTATATGAGAGTGAGGGGGAGGATGATGAGTTTTTAGTCTACGCTATCCAACAATTTCCTAGCTCTCTTGCTCCTGCTCTTGTTCCTATTCCTGAACTTGCACCTGCTCATGCTACAGAGTCTACTCCTATTCCCCCTCTTGCACCAGCATCTATCCGCCCTTGTTTTGAACAGGTTTATTCCAGGAGACCATGAACTCTTGACTCAGTTCCCCTATCTACCGCTTCAACAGAAGATCCAGTTCCCTCCACTCAACCTGAGCCTGTGCCATCCACTACTCCGTCAGACCTTGACCTTCCCATTGCTCTTCGAAAAGGTAAACGCACGTGTACCTATCCCATTTCTTCTTTTGCTAGTTATGATCATCTTTCTCCTTCATCTCCTTGTTTTGTAAGTAACCTAGACTCTGTCTCTATCCCTAAAACTGTTGTCCAAGCTTTGTCCCATCCTGGTTGGTGTGCAGCAATGAAAGAGGAAATGGGAAATGCTGCTCTTAGATTACTAATGGTTACTTGGATTCTTGTGCCTCTCCCGGGTAGAAAGGAAAACTATTGCGTTGTAAATGGGTTTCACAGTTAAAATTGAATCACTGATGGATACTGTTGCCCGTCGCAAGGCTCGATTAGTTGCTAAGGGCTATTCTCAGATTTATGGCCTTATATCTGATACCTTTTTCTCCTGTGGCCAAAATTGTCTTTCTGTTCGATTTGTTTATTTCTTTAGCAGCTACTTTTTGACTGGCCTTTACATCAGCTGGATGTTAAGAATGCTTTTCTTCGTTTGGGGGATCTTCAAGGAGAGTTTACATGACAACCACAGGCTTTGTTGCTCAGGGGGAGGTTTTAGGTAAAAGTGTGTAAACTTCGAAAATCTCTTTTATGGCCTAAAAAGAGTCCTCGAGCTTGGTCGAGCTTGGTTTGGTAGATTTTGTAATGTCAATTTGGCATGCAGAAGAGTATTTCTGATCATTTTGTATTTTTCAGAAGTACTAACACTGGTTTGATTCTACTTGTGGTTTATGTTGATGACATTGTTATTACAAGGAGTGATTCTGCATTGTTATTATAGGGAGTGATTCTGCAGGCATTACATCACTCAAGTCATTCCTCCAGACTCAGTTCCAGAAAAAAGACTTAGGATTGTTGAAGTATTTTTTGGGTATAGAAGTATCTAGGTGTAAGAGAGGCATCTTCTTATCTCAAAGGAAGTATGTCCTTGACTTACTCTTACTAAAGCAGAAAACTGGAAAGTTGTAGGTGCCAAGCCATGTAGTACTTCCGTGAGGGTCCTAATTTGCAACTTTCACTTGGTGGTAAGCTATTTTGATGTTGATGATCCTGAGATGTATAGAAGGTTAGTGGGCAAATTGAATTATCTTACAGTAACACGTCCAGATATTGCTTACTCTATGAGCGTCTTAAACCAGTTTATGTCTTCTCCCACTGTTATCCATTGGGAAGCTTTAGGACAGATTTTCTGCTACTTGAAAGGTAATCCAGGTCATGGCCTGCTTTACAGTAATCATGGGCATTTGGACATTGAGTGTTTTTCATATGCGGATTGGGCAGGTTTGAAGGTTAATAGAAGATCAACTTCAGGATATTGTGTCTTTGTAAGTGGAAACTTGATATCATGGAGGAGCAAGAAACAAAATGTATTCTCACGATCGAGTGTTAAATCAGAATATCGAGCTATGGCACAATCTGCTTGTGAATTAATTTGGATTCGTCAGTTGTTAGAGGAAATTGTCATTCTTAGAGGAATTGGCTCACGTCCTTGCCTGCGCAAAGTTATGTGTGATTTAATCAAGTTGCTTTCTTCATATTGCAATCAAATCCAGTATTCATGAACGAACAAAACATATCGAGATCATTTGTCATTTTTCAATTCGTGAAAAGATACAACAGGGTGTTATCTAAATGGACCTCGGGTTAACTATCTTTGTTAACAATTGGGGCATGTATAACATCTATGCTCCAACTTGAGGAGTGTTTAAGGAGAGATGTAAATAGAGTATTGGGCATGATTAACATCTATGCTCCAACTTGAGGAGTGTTAAGGAGTAGATGTAAATAGAGTTCTGTTAGGAGTTAGATTCCTAATAGGTTTATAGTATCCTGTATATGTATATATATGTGACCGTATTGATGAAAAATAGATAACAATAATTTTCCACATTCTTCTACATAACACATTTCCTCATCCCTATCTCATAAGCTCCCCCCGCCCCCCCACCCCCCGGCCGTCCTAATGCATAAAGTGATCCAGACCATATATAGCCCTAGTGACCAGCTTCTTAAATGATTGCTCTGTAGCATACATACACACAAAACAAGTTCTCTAAAAAGCACTTTGTTAAAGGAACTACATTCAATTTGTAACTTGCCCAAACAATAGGAGGGAACAATCCAAACTCGCAAGAAGTAATACTTCCTCTTGTTTCTTCAAATGAACCTTATTTGAATATCTCAAGGCTCCAACCTCCTAGCAAACATGTTTCTTTTCTTTTACCATGCATTTTCAGCTTTCTCCTCATTAATCCTACTTAGCACACTGCATTTAGGGCACTTTTCAAAAGATTCATCAGAACGCTAAAAAAATGCCAGTTGGTTACTTGGCTTCAATTGGGGAAGAAAAACTATATGGTTTACATAATAAATTAATAATGACATAAAATGACATCATATTGTACTAAAATTCCACATTACAACTTTCTTGAAACAGACTACTATGGACATATGCATAGAGCTTAGTTGGCAGCAGATGAATAAAAGATACAAGAACTAACAATGCACCTGGTCCCTTAGTTGTTCAAGCAATGTGGCACCGATCAAACCAGGTCCAATGATCCCCATTGCTATTGTGGTTTTTGAGAGAAAAAATCTTGAGTGGACAGCTTTTAAAGCTCTTATACAATCTTCCCGCTTGACTACCACAGTAATATTATACTCAGAGCAACCTTGGGCTATGGCACGGACATTTATATTAGCCTGCATTGCCATAATATTCCAAACTCCAATCACAGGTATAGCTAGGAGCAAAACTAAATAAATAAAATGCAGAGTAGAAGGATAAATGAAAATTGAACCATTAACAAAAAATTACCTTAGCTAGGGCATTGAATAAAGTAGCACTAACTCCAGGAGTACTAGCCATTTTCTGGCCAACTGCTGCTAAAATGCTACAATTTGGAATAATGGCAACCTGAGAAGAACAAAGTAATGATAGGAAGACAGCTATAGATGGATCATTTGGAATAATTTTTTTGACAAATTAATGGAAACAAATAACATTCCAGTCCATTCAGCTAAAAATGGATCATATGTTGTGCTCATACAAGTAAAGATAGGAAGACCCAATTTTAACATGCAGATTCTGAAACAAAGAATAAGCCAAGAAATTAGACTATAAGGACGAACAAGCAACTAAACACATAACCAGTTCATGTCTGAAACTGTGATAGTTAAAAGTAAAGTAAAGGCCACAAAGTTCCAAGAGGAGAAATGCTGAAGCTAAAATTTTAAGGGGTGCTAAAAACCTCTTTTTCCTTCTGTGGTTCTACTCAGAGTGTGTGTGTGTGTGTATTTGGCGGGTGGGGATGCACATACATTTAAAGCCATAATAAGTCTAAAAAGAAGACAATAAAATAATAAGGATCTTGTATAACTTGTCAATAAACAAATCCAGCACTACAACTAAATCTGAAGTAGCACCTGTGAAAGGCGTCCAACATCAAGAGCTTCACGAAATCTAGACTGCAAGGTCTCCGCAACAGCTTTTACTTCCTTCTCAGGCACCGCAAAGCATACAGAATGCTCGCTACTAGCCTTCATTAAACTAAATCAAACTAAATATCTGTGTTAACTAAGAAAACTGTCAAAACTGAAACTGAAGGATAGAAGTACCTGGGATATCATAATGACATTAGCTCCCACATCTTTCACAGCACCAAAAATGGCACTAGCTGTACCAGGAATACCAGCCATTCCAGTTCTGCAAAAACAAAAACATAACAAAATAAATGGAGAAAAAATATTCACAGCGCAACATAGAACGACTGCAAATGCACGAAGGAATAGTACCATGAAATAGCTCACCCCTCAACATTCACAAGGGCCACATTATCTATTGTAGCAAAGCCTTTGACAGAGTCCAGTTTCTGGCCATCTTCATTCTCATTCATAGAAGGCTGGCAAATCATCGTTCCAGGTGAAGAAAGGTTGAAAATATTCCTTATCATGATTGGAATATCATATCGCATAACAGGAATAATAGTGCGGGGATGTAAAACATTTGCTCCAAAATATGACTGCACGATCACATGATTTAATCTTAGAAACAATGCACTTAGAAATCAGGAACAACTTCGATAGGCGTGAGATGTGATCAAGTTTACCATTTCCCAGGCCTCTTGATAAGATAATTTCCTCAGTATCACAGCCTCACTAACTGCAAGAAAAATTAAAAAGGGAAGAGAAAGAAAGATAAGAAAGGAAGAAAATGACAGAGGGAGAGAAGACGAGAAGTTTAGAATCCATCAAGCCTCAAAAATCATGTAATTCTGAAAGTGTTGAGTCTATTGTCTAAAACTGAAGTTGTTCACAAAACAAAACAAGCGGAAGTAGATCCTCTGCCCAGAAAGGATATACACCATGCACTCACATAAGACCTAGCACAAACCTTTTCTGGGATCTGCACTGTAGACCCCATCAACATCAGTCTATCACAGCCTCACTAACTGCAAGAAAAATTAAAAAGGGAAGAGAAAGAAAGATAAGAAAGGAAGAAAATGACAGAGGGAGAGAAGACGAGAAGTTTAGAATCCATCAAGCCTCAAAAATCATGTAATTCTGAAAGTGTTGAGTCTATTGTCTAAAACTGAAGTTGTTCACAAAACAAAACAAGCGGAAGTAGATCCTCTGCCCAGAAAGGATATACACCATGCACTCACATAAGACCTAGCACAAACCTTTTCTGGGATCTGCACTGTAGACCCCATCAACATCAGTCCAAATGGTGACTTGTTGAGCCCTCAACAGAGCACCCATTATAGCTGCAGAGAAGTCACTTCCATCTCGCTTCAATGTTGTGGGAATATTCTGAGGTGTACTAGCAATGAAACCAGTTGCAATTATTGTCTTGCATGGATTCCGAGAGAACCATTCTTCAAGTCTTTTTTCTGATTCCACAAAATCAGGATCAACTTGATTAGAGCTGGTAGGATTTACAATAAGCACCTCTCTTGTATCCATCCATTTACAATCTAACCCACTCTGCACAGGAAATATAGTACTCGTATAACTTGCACAAGCTACAATTCACACGCCATCCACACCATAATAAGCAGGGAAAGAAAACCTACCTTCCTGATAACAGATGATAACATCTGAGCAGACCATAACTCTCCATGTCCTACAACAAAATCAGAAAATGATTCTGTTGCATGACCAGCTGTAATAGGTAAAAAAGTTAGTTATCAGCGATAGGAATCCAGAATCCAAACTTTGCAAGTAAAACAGACTACTAACTCATGTTAACATGAACAAAGTCCTCATGCAGACATGCACAGATAAGGTACACATATAACAACACAAACATACCCATCGTGTTTTCATTCCTTTGTGATTGAATTCTTCAATAAGATCAAGAAGCAGATTTTTCATAAAAAAACTTTAAGTCTTACTTTTTCATAATCCTTGAGAGTAAGAAAAAAGGATACAAGGTTAGAAGGACTACTGCTAGGATCCTAGTTGCAAGACAAGGAATGGGACTTGTCTTGAATCTCACATTGGAAGTAAGGGATTGCAATGAGGTTTATATGAACTTGGGCTCTCTAACCTCAACGGCTAGCTTTCAAGGTATGGTTCTCCCAAGTTTATAATAATTGGTACCAGAGCCAACTACTGCTTCTCTCAATTATAATCAAGCGGCATAGGTGGTGACACCAGAATTGCGGGTGTTAGCCTGGGGCTAGGTGGTGACATCAGTATGTTTGGGGCTAGGGAAAAAAACCTAGCATACAGCCACCCTAACACAAAGCCAACCTGTTTGTACACACCAGTACTACGAAGCATGTGGGATGTTAGGATACTAATTGCAAGACAAGGTAAGGGCTTGTCTTGATCCCACATTGTAAGTATGGGACATCAATACGGAGGTCTATATGAACTTGCAGTCTCCAATCTCAATGACTAGCTTTTAAAGTATGGTTCTCCCAAGGTCATAATAACTGGTATCAAAGCCAACCATTGCTTCTCCCAATTGCAATTGAGCGGCAAGGGCAATCACAACGAAATTGCAGTGTTTGACTGGGGCTAGGTGGTGACACATTATTGCTATGTTTGACTGAGACTAGGAAAAAAAAAACTAGCAAACAACCACCCTAACACAAAACGAATCTGTCGTGGGCACCGCAAGCATGATGAAAAGTTAGGATCCTAGTTGCAAGATAAGGTATGGGACTTGACTTGGATCCCACATTGGAAGTCTGAGATTTCAATGTGTGGTTTTTATGAACTAGGGCTCTCCAACCTCAATGGCTAGCTTTTAAATTATGGTTCTCGCGAGGTCATAACAGCTACCAATAAGAAATCAAGAGAAATGAAAAACAAGGTGTGATTCACTTTGTGTCAATGAACTACAGATGATACAATCTTGGAAAAAAAACAATCCAAAACAACCTGATTGTGTTGAAACAGCGCTCAGTCATAAGCACAACCATTTGCATAAATAAGTCAACATATTCCACTATACATTCATTTAGTCAACCAGCATTCAGCATGACAGACACACACACACACACACACACACACACACACAACAAAGAGAGAGAGAGAGGTCTGATACCTATGAATATCGCACGAAGCATGGCTTTGAGGTTATTAACGTCATGCTGTAACTGAGACAAGAAACTAGCAAGATCTGACCCATCAAGGAGATCAAGTGCCGTCAATTTATGCTTTTCAAAAACAGCATCAGCAGCAGCAATATAAGAATCATCTCGTGACTGTGCTTTGTAGATAAGGTCATACAACATATCTGTCACCTTAGACAGTGCAGACACAACTACCAACTTCCCCTCTGAACCATCATTAACAATTATCTCTGCTACATTTTTTATTCTCTCAGAGCTTCCGACACAAGTACCACCAAATTTATGGACCGACCACATGCCGCCTTTTGAAAGGTAAGCCTTTTCCTTGGATTCATCCAATAAAACAGCTAAAAGCAATCAAGAAAATTCATAAATAGACAAACTTACTCTAGCTACTAATTAGATGAGTTCAGATAAAAATGTAAATTGCAGAAGAGTGCAGATAATGTACCTTTAACTGAAGAAGAGACATAAATGCAAGCTGATTCCCTTCTTCCCCATTGGGAAACAAAACCTATCCTGAAACAAAGGCCATATAAACTCTTCACTTCAGCACTTCATTGACAAAATGAAAAAGAATTGAACTCCTGACCTAAGAGGCCAGTTCAAAGCGATAGATTAACGATCATTATCTAACTCATGCCACTTTCTTTAGAAACTTTATCCATTTTATTTAGAGATCATTTTTCTATTTTAGGAATAAGGCTGGATTCTTGTTATCTTTAGAGATCACTTTTCTGATGAATGGAATTCAGTAATCCTATCAACCAAGCTGCTTCATTTCAACACAACAATCAATTGTTCAAACTAATGTATGCAGGCATTAGTGGGCACTGAGCATTAATGTCATGGATACTCACTACGTATATTTTCATATCAAATAGGCTCCTATGAAACTCTATAAGCACACCAAAACCCAAACAAATAATGAATTACGCATTAAACACTGAATTTGCCCACGTAATCCCATAAACCGCTTCTTCCCCACACCACACGAAACGTCATCGCTTAGGTACTTGTGTTGAAGCATAATAAACTCGCTTTCTCAAAGGGCATAATGAAATTCTTTTTAAAAAAATATATATATATTGCACATTCCGAAATGGAACCAGAAAGAAACTATATGCCTGGAGTAATGGCGCGTTAGAGTCGAGAGGTTGGGGCGGTTGGTGCGGCTCCGGTAGCTGGAGACGCGTGGGCGTGGAGTGAGCTCTATAGTACGAAGGAGCTGAGAATATGTCTCCATTAGTCAATTTTTGGTTTGCATATGAATATGATAATTTAGCTTTGATTTCTTGAAGAATTTTGCTTGGCTCTTTTTGAGTTTTGATTATCTGAAATTTATTGGTTGCCTTTCAAGATATGATGAAGAAAGACGGGAAGAGGAAAAGGAAGAGGAATAGGCAGTTGGCGATTTGATATCCGTTCAGGAGGAGCTGGCCGTTTTCTAGACACAGAGAAGAGGAGGAGATGGCGGCGATTTGATAGACGTGGATCGCGGAGTGCTTAGCAGAAGAAGGGAAGGTGACTAGGCGAGTGGTGTACAGTTGAAAGAGGAGAGCGGTTTTGTCATTTTGGTAAGTGGAAAGAAATGGTGTCGTTTGATGAGTGGGGTTATTTTGACTGGAAAGGCCTGGCCACGAGGGGATAGTCACTGATCGAGTAACAACTTCCATTTATTACTTAAAAATACCTGATCATAGTTTTTGTAATAATAAAATGTCTTTTGATGTAATTACGACTTTCCGTTGGCCGGCATGTCAGATAATTAACACCTTTTTTTTTTTAAATGGACAATTGTCTAATTTTTCTCTCTCTTCAAATTCACTCACACAGAGGTGGCCCTATTACGGTTCCCAGAACCGGACCGATAGTTTTAACTGGATTCAAATCGGAACCGAAATCTATGGGAACCAAAATCGGTCCGAATTAGAATTGGAATCGGAGATTTCCGGTTCGGTTTCGATTCCAGTATTATTGAAACCGCGAACCGGTGGTTCCACAAACCGGTCAGAACCAGAAGGAACCGCCTATTCTCCGTCCGGTTCGAATCGACGGTTCTAGCCGTTAGAAACTGTCAATTTTTTTTTTAATTTTATTATGAAATTTCTTAATTATCTCTCCCAACAACCATCAATGGTTACATAACATAACGGCTAGTTTTAAGGGTATTTTTGAAAAAATAATTTTTTGGATTTATTATAAATTAAGTTCAAGCCTCTTTTTTTTTTAATTATGTTCAAACTTTTTTAAGCAAAAAATAAATTCAGTTGAAGACTTTTTTTAAAAAAATAATTAAGTTCAAGTCTTTAAAAAAAATAATTTTAATTGAAGCATTTTTTTATTTTTTAGGTGTCGCCTATTGACGACCGCTCCCATCACATGATCAACCACTCTTGCTGTAATCCTTTGATGTCATTATCTCTGATCTCGTGCCACGTACTGATCACTATACAGCCACTGCGCGCAGCTTCCCCGTTAACGAATTCTCCGTCTTCTCGATCTTTGGGACATGCTCCTCCTGATGGATGGGACGTGCATACAGAATAACTAATGCCGACCAGTGGCCGGCCTGGATCATCGACCGCCGTTTCCTAGATGGTACGTTGTGATCTCGTTCGGAGCCGGCAGTAAATGGTGTTGTTTCTGTATGTAAGCAACTGAACAGTGTTAGCTTGCATGCGATGACAATCCAGAGAAGCGCACCTTGCGCGCACTTCCCGGGCGCTAGCCCACTATCGGGCAGTACTCCAGGTCCGTCACCCAGCTTACATTCCACTATGACAGTTGGCTCCACATGCCACTTCTTAATCCACCCTCCTTGATCCTATCCCGTCATATGTTCTCCACAGTCTTCTGCTAAACTCGCATAAATCATCTAGTCTAGGTGTACAGTTGAAAGAGGAGAGCCCGGTTTTTGATCATATTTGGTAAGTGAAAAGAAATGGTGCTGTCGTTTGATGAGTGGGGTTATTTTTGACTGGAAAGGGGCCTTGGCCACGAGTGATAGTCACTGATCGAGAGAGATAACAAACTTTTCCCATTTATTACTTAAAAATACAGACTGATTTTCATAGTTTTTGTAATAATAAAAATGTTCTATTTTGATGTATTACGACTTTCGTTGGGCCGGGCATGTCAGATCATTTAACACCTTTATTTTTTTTTTAAATGGACAATTAGTCTAATTTTTCTCTCTACTTCAAATTCACTCACCACAGACGCGCGCGCCTATACGGTTCCCAGAAACCGGACGCACGATAGTTTTTAACTGGATTTCAAAATCGGGAACCAGAAATCTCATGGAACCAAATCTGGTCCGAATTTTAGGAATTGGAATCGGACGGGCATTTCAGGTTCGAGGTTTTCGATTCCTAAGTATTTATGTGAAACGCGAACCCGGTTATGTTCCACAAAACCAGGTTTCAAGAACCTAGAAGCAACCGCCTAAATTTCTCCGGTTCCGGTTCGAATCGACCGGTATCTAGCCCGCTTAGGAAACTAGTCAATTTTTTTTTTTAATCTTTATTATTTGGAAATTTCTTAATTATCTCTCCCAACAACCACATCCAATGGTTTACATACAACATAACCGGCCTAGTTATTGAAGGGGTAAATTTTTGAAAAAAATATTTTTGGATTTATATAGTAAATTTAGTTCAAGCCTCTTTTTTTATTAATTAATGTCAAACTTTTTTAATGTCAAAAAAAATAAATTCAAGTTGAAGACCTTTTTTTAAAAAAAATTAATGTAAGTTCAAGTCTTTAAAAAAATAATTTTATATGAAGCAATTTTTTTATTTTATTTAGGTGTATTTTTTAAAATCGTTAGAAATACACTTCCACAAAATAATTTTTAAAATTTTTTTGGAAAAACCGCTCAATTTCAAAATTTTTTTAAAAATTAAATAACAATTAAATGTGATTTCGCCGGAAAAACGAATTTGGGAAAAACCCGAATCGAGAACACCAATACGAAGTTTTGAAACCGTTTAAGGAACCAAAATCGGAAAACCGTTAGTCCAAACCAGAACCAAAACCGAAAATTTTATCAAGGATCTGGTTCGGTTTTCAAAAATTTAGAACCAGAACCGTCGATTCCGGAACCAGTGAGAACCAACCTCTCTCTTCATATATCATCGAACTTCCTCATATATAGATATGTTTCCTCTCACTCGTGGGTCGCTGGTGGGTGGACTCTCTCAGCCGCCTGCTCATGAACCATCTCTCTCTCTCAAACAAACTCCCACTGCAATTTCTTTCTATATTTAGCATCTCTCTATTTCTGCAATATATTTTTTTTTTAAAAAATATTTAGGACAGATCAATGCAGGACAATGATCAATCTAACCTCTAATCTTTCACCTTTTTTCATTTTTCTATTATTTCTCTCTCCCATTTTTTCTTCTTTTCTCTTTTTTTATTTTAATATTTTAATATTTTATTTATTTTTTTTTTTTTTTAATTTTATGTTTTTTTATAATTAAACCAAAACACCTATTTCTTTTCTATATCCTTCTCTTATATTCTCAGTTGCACAAATTCGGCACGTTGTAAGTGATACAACAATATTAAAATGGTACATCAATGATCAGAAAAAAAAAAAATCAATGTTCATCTGCATAAAGACTTACAAGGATAAGAAATGGCCACGTCGAATTATTGGACAATTAAAAAACATATGAAATTTTGATGTCCAACACACTAAAAATATTAATTTATACTTTCACTTGCAAAATTTTAAGAAATGAATACAAAGTTAGCTCATACTAAACTGAGAAAAAAACCCTAAAATTAAAATTATAGAATAAGGAATTGTAGAGAATGTAGATTCAGATTACCTAAACTCAATCAAAGAATACTACATATCCTCACGAATGTCTAAAATAATAATTGCTAAAATTAATTTGCTAAATTTTGGATAACTTACCATTTTCATCATTTTCTCACCAACCAAACACATTTAGAACCAAAATTACTATCCCCAAAATTTAATCCAGTAAACACATCATTAGCTAAACAAGATTAAGCAAACACAAAAATCTAATTGCACATATGTCAAAATTAATTTGCTAAATTTTGGATAACTTACCATTTTCATCATTTTCTCACCAACCAAACACATTTAGAACCAAAATTACTATCCCCAAAATTTAATCCAGTAAACACATCATTAGCTAAACAAGATTAAGCAAACACAAAAATCTAATTGCACATATGTCAAAATTAATTTGCTAAATTTTGGATAACTTAGGTAGTGTTTGGTATTGTTGTGGTTTCTAGTTTTGGTTTAATTTTGGTCAAAAAAACGAAACATGTTTGTTTTAAAACTGTTTATATTTATTTTTCAACTTTTTTCAAAATCATTTAAAAAACAGAAAACGTGGTTACGAAACCACAAAGCCATGGTTTACGCGATTTTTTTTTCCATTGATAAGCTTCTCTCTTCTCTCTTCTCTCTTCTCTCTCCTACAAGTCTCTATAAACAAATACACTTCTGTTTTCTCTCTTCTACACCTTTATATCAGATTGAAATCTGTATCAACTTGGATAAAACTCCATATTTGACTCTCCTATATCCCTTTACAAACTCTTAACTGTTTCCTCAAAGTTTTATAATTGTAAGGTACAACTGACAATTGTATTCTCCAATATTTGAGGAAGATCCATCCACAAAAGGTAGCTGAATTTGTAAGGTATTTTTGATTTAATTTATAAAATTTTTTTATTATGATTCATTGCACGAGCTATCATTATTTAGTTGATTTTTTTTTTTCAATTCTTTAACTTTGGTTGGAACTTGATTGAGTTCATATTCTTTTATTATATTCCTGTGATACTCCATCTTTGAAGATTTTTTTATTATCTTTTACTGATCATTGCATTCATTGCTCCAAATTTTGCTTTTGTATTTGTATATAGATGTGTGTTTAACAATTGCTAAAGTGTCCATTTTTGTAAAACGAGTGGGCTGCATTTGTCAAATTGTTCATATTGCATTCTTTTGCAGGCGAATTGCTTCAGGTTATTATTAAGTAATGCTTTCTTTTTTCTGTTGCAAAATTATTTTTTTAAAAGAAAATTCATATTTGCGAGTTTCGGAATAATTAGTCATGAGGTTGCTGAAGTTTTTATTTATATAGTCTCTATAGGTTCCCATTTTGCATTAACAATGAGGGTTCTTAATCCCATTTTATTCAATTGATCCACTTCTATTATAGTGTAAAATTAATTGATTTTGACTTAAAGTAGCAATCATACTAATAGTGATATCTAATCAGTTGCTTGCTGATCTCGGACAGTTGTTTTCTTTGTTGTTCAGTTAGCATGGTAAACTTTTGTGGCTTCGGTTTTTATTGAAGGAAAGGTAACTTTGTCCTTTTGGTGGTTCACCGTCTTCATCCATTGTGTATAGAGGTGGTGGTGGGTTGTCTTTCTATGGTTTGGGAGTGGGGAGAGAGATAAGGTGTTGTCTCTTGAGAATGAGATGTTCAGTGTAAAAGTTAGAGCTAAGAAATATTTTAGTTAAATGAATTACTACCTTTTGATTTTGTGGATGTTATAAGCCAATTTGGGTTTACTAAAAGCTCGTTAAAAAAGTATGCTTTACTTTAAAGAGA